GCTTTAACAATGAGGTCACTGCATGTTTACCTGATCAGCGCCTATGTCGATATCAAAAGCTTGTGTACTCGACAAAATAAGTCGCAAATTCTATTTAATTAGCAGTGACTATACGAAAAGTGTGCGAAAAGAGAAGTACAAGTATGCTAAAATGTTGGTTTTATATATACAAATGTGATTAAGTATATTGAATGGCATTCCCTGCTACTGCGTATCTACGCCCCGCTCGCAAGCGTCAAACCACACCCACTTAACACAACAGCCAACAGTTAGCCCACATGGAAACATTCTGTCAGAGTGCCAACTCGTATGTATCATGCTCCTCAAGATGCGTTCCATTTTTTTGAATGCTAGTTGCTGAGATTGAGTTAACGTCACCTAAGCTCGCTCTAAATCAAGGTATAAAAGATCTCACTTCATCGCTCACAATGACTTGGCTTTAAATGCTAAACCACCCAATCAGCAGCCGGTGATGGCCCAATTAAAACTCAGATGAGCTCTGCTGAAGTGTGTTTTTGGATGCTGAGTCCAACTCCCTGGATAGGATGTATTTGGTCTATCAACAGTCGGCTCGGCAGTATCTGCTCCGTCGTTCACGCTGGCCTTTACCGCGTAAGCTGGAAATGCACATCCTCTTACAACTCGTCCTTATCTCGCCTACACTCCAGAGCAAATGGTTCGACTCATGGACATTGACGCTAGGCAGTCGGTCAGGTCTTAAACACTGAGGCCTCTCTTGAGCAAAGCAGAATAAATTAAGCGTCGCTCTGATCACTAACTCACAGAGATGGCAATGTTAATGGTAATAGGGATTTGGCTTAGTCAAAAAACTGAGGTGTTTTGAAAAATTCAATGAAGCCACCTATCGATGGACAAATTTGCAGTCAGGAAATAAGAAGCTTAGATTATGTTGTTTATGAAAATCCTACTTTTCCAGCTAATCCTTGTGCAAGCAACTTTTCAACGAACAGCATTTATCAAGGTAATTCACAGAATATAATAAGCGACACCACTAGTCACCTGATTGGTAAAAGCTGAAAGATAAACATATTGTTACTTACAAATGGAATTTATTATGTAAAAAAGTGGATGACTGTTGATCACTTAGTACAAGGTTGCAAATGCTTGATCCATCCAAACAGCAGATGTGATAGCGATGCATTAAATAAATGATGTCAAATTCGGCGCACTAAGATTCGGTTCCCATTGGAACTCAAATAAATCCATATTTGTAATATAGCTGAATGCTTGACACGAGGAATGGTTTTGCACCACTACATCACTGCGATGAGTAGATAATATTTGCTTACAACCTTCTCAACCGTTCTCGAATTTGAGATTAGAGCGTCTAGTATCCTTTTTTGGTAAATATTGGCCACTGTTGAATGCCGTCTGACGACCATTGGCATTATTAATTGTGTTTTTGCTTCCATATTGAATTGGAAATTTTGATTTGATCGATTGTTTCGGATTTCTTTGGTCGTAAGTTTTGTGTCTTTTCTTAATGAGTGGTTACTCTGCATATAATGTGGATTTGGTCAATTTCTTTAGAAGCGTGTATCAGAAATTAACGAATCCAATTGCCAAAATTAGTGGTTTTTATGACTTTCTACTAGATGAGCCCATTTGAGTTAAAATTGCACCAAAGTTTTTTTGTTAAAGACGTTAGAGATCGGATCGTCTCTTAAATGAAACGTTACCTTCAACTAGTAGCAGTAGTACTTAAACTGTTTGTACATGTGCATCAGCGGCTGAGGTGCGGAACGAAGAATGGAATT